AGTAAATTATATATTGTATGTGGAAAGCGCGCAAAGTTCGTTTAGTTGTTTTCACAGTTTTGTTCTTCTCTTGCTCACAACCTTGTTTGAATTGCTTTCGGTACGTAAAAACTAAACACTATAAATCAGAATATTCTGGAAAGAAATATTTATTATGCAGATCTATTCTTAGAACCTATTTGTTAAACTTAGAATAACAAAAAGGATTTTTAAAAGCTTTTGTATAAAGTTTCCTATTCATCAAAAAAGCATACTGAAGATAGTGTAGGGTTGTCCTTGAACTAATAATATGATAGTAAGGGGTAAACTATTATCAAGAAAAAACACAATTCGAACTGTATCTGATATAGCTGCTGCTGTTGTTGTTGCTATGGTTGTTAGAATAGGATATAATAATATTCTGTTTGGGCCGGCATGTTACGTCATAGCCACCAATGTTGGTGGACGATAACAAAGCAATCCTCATCACCTTCTTTTGATAGATCAAGCAAAATGGCGGCTGTTTCATCGTTATTTATATCTCTCGAGGGATTTTGAATAATGTGGATGGATCCCAAAAATACCACTGGTTGTTCAAATCATTCAGCAATGTAAGAGACACATACACTAATATGCTATGTCTCAGTGTAATCTACGATATATTGTTGTCGTAGTTGTTGTTGTCGTCGTAACAGGTGGGGGTGCTAACCAATTTAATTATCTCACGACATCCAAGCAGAACTTATTTAGTGATAATCCTTCAGATGCTGCGAGGACAGTATGTCTGGTACACGTCTTGCCGTCTCGCGACCACGTTCGTGCCGCGAGCTTTTCACAATCATAAGAAAATTGCTCTAATCGATCATTAGGCATATCATTGGCCCTAAATGGTTCTAGCTTCTTATGTCCGTATGCTATATATAATTACTGTATTTTGATTACTATATTTTGGTCAAGAAAAACCCTTGAAACTAGTCCTACGTAATGTATAAATAATTGTTAATATCGTAATGACAGGTCTCCGGGAACTAGTTTGCTTCCGTGGTCTGAAATAACCTAGCTTCCTTTGTTACTTTTTGACAACCCAATGAAATTAGTACACACGTATTAATGATTGGCAATCCTCTAATGGCGCTGCTTACTAGAATATCCTTATTTTCTTCCTTTTCATTTCTTTGACAACATATTAACCCTGAGACTTATTAAATCAGTAGCAGAGGCGATTGGACCGTTTGCGATACCGATCTCATTTGCCACAATTAGAGTTCCGAAAGGATTGAATGCCAAAAAGTTATGAACAACGACTCGACACTCATTTCCAAGCGACAATGGATGCGCCTTAGCGCTTAATATTTTTACTCCTAAAACCTCTTAATAATAAGAACACACCAACCAAATGATCAAAGTATTAGCCTTTCTAAACAAAAAGCAGACTAATTATGGCCCAACGTCATTGGTCTAATTAGGTTTTCGACCTTTAAGACACTTGGGGACTTTTGGAAAAAGGAACTTGTTTCGATTATAATTCAAATCCGAAAAAATACAAGTTTTATCTAGAAACTTATCAGGTAATTTAGTTTTGTATCTAATTTAGTGATAACGAAGTTAGTGTTTTTAGTGATTAGAAAAATGGCTTCGATTTTAGGCCAATATTGGTTGCTCGATAGCCGTACAACAATGGTATTCAACATTGAGGATTTTCAAATGATTAATTGATCGTATCTCAGAATTTTAGAAGCAATTTGCAAACGTCTATGGAATAGCCGCTAACAAATAAACCGATCCAATACGAACTATGTCAACATGCGGGCTCTTTGACAACTGGTAATAACAATTTCGAGATGAAAAATAGATATACTAGCTCCTTCGAGGCTTCACTCTCAATAAATTGGCTCCATAATATGAATACTTTTTCTTCTCGTTACGTGGCTAGTTTATTTTATTTTGGCCGCTATTTGGCTTGTTTTGCAAACGTTTTTTGAGTTTCATTTTCAGCGAGGTGATATTGAAGAGTAAATACATCGTATTGGAAAATATCAAGTTTAATTAAGAAAGTAAAGCGATATAGAAATACTTCAGCGAAAGGCAAGGCAGTCACATCTCACATCAGTCAGATCGCTCGCTCCAAGATTGAAATTTTCCACCGGGCGCTCCAATACTAAACGCTAGAAGAATAGTCTTACTATCACGATCTTGGAAGGATTAGCAATGACTTTAGGATGAGACGGAGATCACTATTAAAATCTTCAGGTCAATAATTTGTTTATTAGTAATCATCGCATTTGGATTCGTTTTCTTCTTCCTCGACCTTAGCGTCAGCTGCCTGAAGACTGAACGACCATTTTCCATGGATTTCTTCAATGCAAAATGGGTAAGATTGCCTTTCATTCATTAGTATCTGTTAATTGAATACTAAATGCATAGTTAATTACGTTCGGTGTTGTTTTTTTTTCAATAAGTAAATAAGTTGTCATAGAAACGTTGTAGCGCCGGAACCCGTGATGGTCTGAGTGTAGTCGTGCCATTTATTTGACCCTAACAACTGATCACTTGCTAGACCATCCTAACTAGTGTTTTTGTAAACTAAGGGATTTGGATACCAGATGAGGTAAAGTACTCTTGATCAGTCATTCTTTTTCTCACTTCGTGTTTACTGCGACGGACCCCATCAATGACTAAAGCCAACAAAGTTTCAAGCAAAATTTCCAGGGCTTGGTTGTACGAAGGGTGAATAGCGCTATCCGACDGATTAATCCTTATTCATTGGATAAGTCGATGCTGTTATCCAATAAATTTATCMACTGGATAAGATTTATCCGTCGGATAGCGCTATCCACCCTTTGTACACTGAACCGGGCCCAATACTGTATGGTTTTCAACGGCCGGGCTAAAAGGAAAAACCCATTAATTTGTTTTCTACGGCTTAGGGGAAAAACGGATTAAATTGTTCAGACCTTGGCGCACCGAGTTCCATCGGCCTTAGTCGGATAGTGTACTGTATTTTCTAATACAAAAGAGTCGAAAAATATATTGCCGTAACGATTTTTTGAAGTCTTCCATTTGCTATCGACAACTATGATATTAGGCATTTAATTTTGGAAAAGAAATCAAACAGCGTGAAACGAAAAATTGAAGCTAGGGAAAATGTGAATGAAATGAAATAAATTGTAATTTGAATAGCATTAGTTAGAGACCTACATTTGTTTAATTAGGGAGCCTTCGTGATTCTGGATAAAAATTTAACATCGCCGGTGAAAAGTTTCCATTTTTTTCTATATTTCCCGTAATCTTAATATTTCTTTAGTAAACCAACCGTATACGAGACTCCTTGCGTGGATTTTTAAAATCCTAGAGTAGAGTTGCCAAGGAGATAGTCAGTGTTGGYGTTTCACAAACTTTCTTTCTTAGATACACGCATCACGCATATTCCAACACACCACATAAAACTCACGATTCACGAGCATCCACGCATCATCACTCGTATTCTACTCACGCAACACGAGAAAATGCTTTTCATCGGCAGTAGGTTTTTGATGCTATACTTATTGACTGTCATCAAAGTTTAATCCTGTATGGAAAGCACATGATCTGCTTAGGAAGAAAGGTTTAGCGAGTGATTTATCATGTGTTACAGAACGATTTTCACCTTGGTGACCCTAAGATCTCGTCTCCACTATGAATGACAACTTAAAAAATCTCATATCTGTCCTGACTAGCGTCTAGGGTGAGATTAATTTTTCATGAGAAAAATTCTTGTAACATAATTTGAATGGTAAAGGAATTTCGCACTCATTGGCTTGGTTCTCAACCAGATTTGCTTACTCACAGGTTCCTTGTGGGGGGTCCTAAAGAAATTTTCTAGACCAAATTTTGGCAAGGTCCCACACTCAATATTGAATTCAGCTAGAGAATCCAATGTTGGTGATTCTAGTTTACATTCCTAGAGATCTAGTTTTGTTGCTTGTGCACCACTAAATACCATTAAGGTGACCATTAGTGATCTACACTACCCTCCTAGTAGGTTTCATGTGTTGTAACACAGGTAGGATTTGATCCACTGACCCTCCGAATTTTCCTCCTTCGTAAAAAGACCCCACACATCAGTTTTAACGTGTTCACGATCAGTCCTATGTATAAGGTTAGGAATACTAGTGTTCTGTATGACAGGGCAGATAAAAAAAATAGACAAGCCCCGCGCTACTTTCACGATATTTTTATTTTATGAACTGAGTTCAATACTCCAAATTTTTAAGCGTTTCATTTGTGTCACTGCTGCTCGAAACTTGTGACGAAATTTTGTCGAATTAGAGTAAATCTACTTATAAGTATTCCGAAAAACAGTTTTTCTGCTGATCAAAGTATCACCTCTCCCAAAGTACGCGGCTTTATGTCTCAAATACGCATTTTATAAATTTTGATCGCATTTGATATTTTACTATTTGGTTCCGAAAGAACGTGTTTACAAAATATTGAGCTTAAATGTGTAAAGCTGTCCTTATGGCGAAAGGCCAAAAACCGTTTTTTCCCTGTCGTTCTGTATTGGCTTTCTCGTGATATTTAGTCCAATGACGATGGATGATGAAGCTTTAGTTTATTGAGCTTCTCGACTGGAAATATGTCCTAGTGAACATGGCATGACAAATAGAGGTCGTTCTTAATCGTTTTCGCAGAAATCTTTTAACAGATTTCCACAAAAATGTATCTCAAAGTCACGAGTATAGAGTCATTTACCTAAATTTAGAAAATTCGTCAGATCATAACAACCTGTTTCAGTTTAGGGCATGTTTATTCTTACCGAAACCATAAACCTCAAAAATAATAATGCTCTTAGCATCTTGGAAGAAATTTTGTATATATACACCAAAGCAAACACTATCTAACAGAGTCAATCTAACAGAGTCAAATCTTGTAGTAGCCCCATTTTCATTGGCCAGCTTTCCTTCTCACGTGACATTGGGGTTTTCCTATAATCCATCTGCGACTAGTCGACTTATGTACGTCATTATCTATTTAGTTATAAATTGTATTTAGGAAGGTTAGCTTATCAAAAGCAAGCAAAACCGGGTAAGGAAAGTGTTCTCGTATTTGGTGCACTATTGGTGCCACACTTGCCTTCTCGACAACTCGCAGGAATACGAGAGTGAATATCGAATATAACTTAATCAAAACAATGAACCAAATCCGAGTTATCACTGAATTAAAGAAGGAAAAATTGAGGAAGACTTTAAAGGCAAGATACCCGAGGTAAGATTATATAAGTAAATTGAATTCCCAGTTTAAAAAAAACAACTTTTGGTAGACAAGTTTTACACACAGATTTTCCTGCAAGTTCGACTACTACACAATTACTAGATGAACCAGATAAGTCTTGTTTAAATTAGCCAAAATTAATAAAGAATTTATGATTTATATCCGATAAAAGTATATTCCACGACAGAGCCCGCTAAAATTACTGTAATGTAACGAGGTATACGAGTTAAAGAAGAATTAGCACGTATTTGGTGACCCTTAGGTGACTCTGTTCAGTATTGAGCAAATAACAACGGTCTGTTATGGTATTGTTAAGGAAGCTGTATTTAATGAACTAGGAAAGCATGAAACGAACTGAGCGGAGCTTCATAACTTTCTAAATCAGTTTTACGAATCGTTATTCTTTGGCAGGGAATTCTTGGAAACAAATTTCAGAACGTTTGATATTGGAATATATTTTTCATATGCATATATTTTTAGGTTTGATTCCTGGTTGCGAATCTTGGATTTTGTTCTAGAAGCGCTTCATGAAAAGTGTATACTACTCTAGGTATATACGATGTAATGCCTGATTTGGAAATACTTGAGTGATCTACGATATTGCAGTCGGAGTCAACTTGGCTCTGATATTTTTTTACTTATTCATACTATTGCCTAGACGTGATCACAAATTCAGTCAAGTGAATGAGTTTCGTGTTATATGCGCGTAAATATGCCATGTTCTAGAGATAACTAACACAGTACTTGATAGAACAAAACAGCAAATGAGCTTTCTATTGTTTAGATATAATTTATCTGCCATAATTTATCAGAAACTCGTACAGGCTTGAATAAGAGCACCTCTTAATCATGTGATAGTCAGCACGGCGTATCAATTTCAGTTCCTGTACAACTAGCTTCTTATTTTTTCGCAAAAAGAAAACAAATCCCACGACTTATCTTATTTAATCCATGTTTATTAAGAAAGAGAGAATGCTATTGTTTCAGCATTGCACAGACATGTCCTTCTGATAGATTATTCTTAAATAATCGAGATAGGAAGTTAATGGAGTTAATAATTGATATCTTTCAAAGGTGACAGTTCTGGTAAGTGCCAAAATTTTCAAGCTTTTTAAAAGAGACATTTCTCATTAGGTTAGTGGGAAAAGAGTCCTGACAAAAGTCTTCAGAATATCTAGCATCTTAGCACTTCCATCGTTCCCGTAGGGCTGCATTCCTTAGCACGAGTATCCAGTATACGATATTTTTCCTCTGACATTTCGTATCCCCATATCCCATGAGGATGTGACCTCTTTAGACTTCGCATTTCTGTTGTTATTCCAGTCTAAATGTATTGGAATTTTGTGCTTTGGTATTCAAGTGGCACGGCTGACGGKGATAGTATCTTGGTGTGTGAAAAGGGATCGTAAAAAGGTCATTATGGAATCAGAGAAAGCACTTGTGTAGACACAACACCTATAGTTATGAAAAGTCGAGTTTACTCAAAGGGTCCGATGTACAATAAAAACAAAAACTTAGGCATTTACGTTTTGAAGCAGACTTGGCATTTGCATCAGTTTCGACGGTAATAGTATCTTGGTGTGAAAAGGGATCGTAAAAAGGTCATTATGGAATCTGATAAAGTACTTGTGTAGACACACCACCTATAATAGTAATTATAACTAGAAGCAGTAGCCACAAAAGCCCATTTACAATAAAAACAAAAACTTAGACCTTTAGGTTTTAAAGCAGACTTGGCATTCTTCAAGGCCATTGCACCAGTTTCGAAGGAATTTCTGAGATAAGATTGACTGAAATGTAATTATATGCTCGTCATTGAACGAGTCTGTAGTTCTAATGCGGAAGAAGATTAGACAATGAAAAACTAAGACGACTAACAGGCTTACAACAAAGAAACTCCTACATGTTAAAATAGACATATATTCTGATGAGAAAACACACAACTAATGCAGCAGACGAACAGAACATGTAAAAGTAGATTAGAGGAAACGATGATGTTGCTGGCTTCAACAGCACTGAGAACTTGCCTCGTCTCATATAATTCCTAAAAGAATGTCGCAAGAACGATTTTAGGCTGGTGATAGTCTGTTCTGTAAATGGAGTAAATAAGGCTCGCTTAGTTAGCGACTTGTCTTTCTAATACCACTTGTTAATCATGAAATAAGAGCTGCACTTATAGTTCTGATTCAGTCTATGCTTTACACACATATGGAGACATATTTATTAATATCTATGGGGACATTGTATGGCTTTACCACAAGATTCATGGAACCGATTTGAAACTTTGCAAAGGACGTTTTTAGCAGAGGGATTAAAAACAAGAATTTAGTAGACAAGGGTAAAGAAAAGCCTTCAAAGAGAAAAACTAGACTACTTAAAAAGCGATAAGATGTTATGACTCCGGGGTGGAAAATAACTCAATTCCTATAAAGTTTTATTAATTAGATAAAATAGAAATATCATTTCGAGTATTCACGGGAAGAGTAAGGGATAAAATACGAGGTTAAAATGATGACCAACGTTTTACTGAATTTTTCCTTACATCAAGTTAACTGAATTACCAATATGCCTTTCACCAATGCGTTCAGGAATAAGAAATCTCATTCTTAGAACAACGTCCTAATTGCCTTCTCTAAATTCTACACCATGGATTTGAATGGAAATTTTTTTAGATTAGATGGATTAAGATGATCACGCCCTGATTAGTGACTCAACCTTGTCACTGAATCATCCATAAAAAACATGCCTAACCCCACTCCCCTAAGAACAAACGCTTTCGGCAAAGTTCGATAATCAAAGAACCAATCTATTAAGCTATTAAGCTATTTATTAGGTGTTATAAACTCTAAACCCGTTGAAAGATGATTAATGATAAGTTCTTTACAATTATTTAGCTGGTCAGTGTCTTAAGGATCTTTTAAAGGTCAAATTGACCACACTTTAAAACTGACGCAAGTCTTGATTGTCATGGTAACTTGGCTAATTATTATTCTTTATTTACATAGGTTTTGGAATACTTGGATTTTCTAGAGCTCTATTTACRGAGGGTTTACTAGAGCATAAGTGAACACACTAATTCCACTCGTCGTTACAGCAAAACAATTTATCCCAAACAGCTCATCGGATATAAAGAGTGGTTGAGTCTATCAAAAACTTGGTGAGGTCTACGCTACTGCGTTGGAATCTTCGGTGGGCTACCTTGGACGGGACTGTGTGTATTCAAACCGCATTGTTGTGGTTACTGACCGCTGTGTTATTTAAGGCATCAAGTTTTTTTGGGATTGTACGAGTTTACGACCCATTTGTTTTAATTCATACCCGAGAACACTGCAGAAGAGGTTTGATTGAACGTATTATCAAGCACATACTTCTCTCTTGTCATCTGGATCTGACTTAGTCAGGAAGAAAGGAATCCCATCGTTAAGCAAATATTAACATGGTATATGGTTAAGCATTCAACAAGTGACTTTTTGAATATGGATCTACCTAATTCAACCATGAATGCAACTAAAGCACCGGGGCGACCGCCTCAAGAGTACTTCTGTAGCCTTCCCACAGAATCCGAATTCAAGTTTCAAACAACATTTTTAATCCTCATTCTCATACTGACCTTCGTCGGAAACCTTTTGGTCGTTCTAGCCGTGATATTTTTCCGTCGACTTCGCTATATCACAAACTACTTCATCGTGTCTCTAGCAGTGAGTGACCTGCTCATCTCCATCTTTTTGCCATTCAGGATCGATCAGACAATACATAATGCGCATTGGTGCTTGAGCAAGGAATTCTGTCGCCTCTGGATCGTAATAGAAACGACCTGTAGTTATGCATCTATGTGGAACCTTGCAATCATCTCTATTGATCGATATACTGCCATAGTGCATCCTTTTCGATACCATTCAATAATAACAAATAAAGTAGGGTATGGACTTATTAGCTTTGTCTGGGGCTTCTCCTTCACGTTAGCCTTAATGGCACTAATGAATTGGACTTCCTGGGAGCAGGAACGCTTTTTATATGAACCTGAGTGTGGAAAAAAAGACAAATACTACTATACGATATCAGCTGCAATATCGTTTTATTTGCCTTTGTTAATAGTGTTGGTCATGTATGGGTTCGTTTTCCGCGTGGCCTTTAATCAAGCAAAGGCAATGGCTGCGCTCCAAGTTTCTTCAAACAACAGAGGAAGACGAAGCTCAATCAACCTGGTAAAGGAAGTAAAGGCAGCCAAGACATTGGCAATTGTTATAGGCTGCTTCGTGGTCTGTTGGTTCCCTTTCTCCGTTCTTCTTCAGATTAGTCTTTGGGCTAAAGAAGAACTTATTTTGCCCCTTTCTCGTGACGTTAAAGTTGGATTGAGTTTGACATTTATATATGCACTTCCAGCTCTCAACTCGACATTAAACCCCATCATTTATGCTTTATTCAATCGCGAATTTCGTCAAGCGTTTATAAAGCTTGCTAAGCGGATGACCGGTCAACCCTTGGGAGCGGTTGGTTTTGGAGAATCAACCATGACTGGAACGACAGTTTCAAAAGCTGACAATGGGGTTTATCATAGTAATCAAAACCGAGCAATCCGCTTTCAGGATCATGACAGTGAAAGCTCCGAGGTTCCTCCAACAATTCCTATGCGAGATCCAAACGCTTTTTACAACGATAGCTGTATTGAAATCCCAGCAAATGGCAGCACTTTGGCTGCGCCACACGATACCAACTCAATGGAAACTACGTTAGATGATGATAGACCAACACAATGCCCTTCACCTAACAGCAAAGATACGGCGGATGCGAAGACTCCACAGTGCAATGGGGCTGGTGGTGGTGGTGGCAATGTTCATAGTGAAGAGAACCCTTCGAGAGGAGAAATACCTCAAAAGTTACCTCCTTTGGAAAGAGACGGTTCTAAATCCACAGACGATGATGTCGATTTAGGTGCAGGTGGATTAGCCAAGCCTTTAACTTTACCGCCAATTGAATCAACTAACACTAGCGAACTAAATCCCTCTCTATCACCGGCAAGATCCGAACGTTCTGAACTATCATCATCGTCACTAGTAAACGTTGCGGAACATGAGGACAAAACATGCGACATAACTGACAGTGTTTTATAAAAATATATATTCAACCTGGGTGACATTTTTCCCGCAATCAAATTTTAGATGACGTGAAATATCAGTTATAGAAATAGAAATAACAGGAAAATATCTATTCGGCATTGTTTCCCGTTGGCAGTATCTTTAGGCAGATTTAGAAGGAGGGATTGTAAAAGCATCCTTTTTTAATACTTCGCATTTAATGTTAGTGTTCTGATCAGGTTTTGTTTAAATAATGATCATTAATCATGATGATTGTGCGCGTATTCAACGATTTCGATCTCTTTTGATTATGAACTATTTTTGAAAAGCTCATCGAGTTTAAGACAATGAATATCGAAAATTGAAAAATGGAAGTCAGGAATTTTCAATTTTCAGGAAAAATAATTTGACTGTCTCTGACTTACATTTACTAAAACTTTAGATGTTTCGGCTCACACTCACACGTTTCAGTTACACAGAGTCTACTTTTAATTTCCCAGGAGACAAATCCCTTATTTCTCTCGCTCGGGGGAAAGATTAAAGGGAGATTTTGCCGGCAGGGTAACACAGTGGAAACTTTGAAACTTTGAGTAACATTAAATTAGCGAATTATTTTTCATGCAAAATGAACAAAGACTTTAAAAATATCAGGCGATATTGTAGGCTGATTTTGACTAGCCTAAAGCAGTACTAAAACAAATTTTGGATAGTGATTCGATTACAATGAATATGATATAAATTATGGGTTTATCTTGGCATACTAACTTACGTATATATTGTTATATCCTTCGATACGGTCAATCAGATGTTGTAAATAAAAAATTAGATTATTATAGGGCGTTCATATGCGTAACAAACTTGTTTGCATCATTTAAACTGAAAAATTAAATTACAACCATTTGCGCAATGTGATTTGTGATATATAAAGCTATAATGATGAGGCCATAAATGTTAAGATTAGCCACGTGTAACAACATTTGAGCCCTGCGCAACGAGGTAGGTAACTTGCGGAGCAATGCGCAGTATGATTAATGTAATGCGTACCACCGTTAGTGCCATTCCGCAATAACATCCGTGGCATGTATGCACTACTGCAACAGAAGGTTGCGCAGAAAGATTTTGAGTGCATACAACATTAAAGTAGTGTACAAAATAAAGCCATGCGACATTATACTACTGGCACGAGCCAATAAGATCAGTGTCATGTATGCGCTATTGAAACAGAAGGTTGCGCATAAAGATTTTAAGAACATACATCATTAAATAAGTGTACAATTATAAAGCCATGCGACATTATACTACTGGCACGAGTCACTAAGATCAGTGGCACAATAAGATTAGTGATATGGAATGTACGAACAATTTGTAACGTAACAAATCTCCACACTGTGAAATAAGAGCAATGCGCAATAAAAAAAAGTTCAACGTACGACAATATATTCACGTGAAAACATTCCTGGTATGTGTATGAGAGCTTTAGAGCTACTCTATCAACTCTAGGGCAACATCTTTAAGGTTATATTCACTGAGTCATCAGAGAAAGCTATCTTTCGATGGCAATGGACGTTGAGATGTAAAACCACGAACATTTATATTACAAAACATATCTGGCCTTACTACAAATTCTAGAGGCTACAAGACTGATAACACGTCTTAGTCAAATCCAACTGGTGATCTATCATCAATGCAGCGTTCTGATTGGATAACCTACTATTAGTCTATAAGTTATACCCTACTAGTAGCAAAAAGTGCTGGCTTTGAAAACCAAAGCATTAAATTTACTGACTTTTCTGAATTTAAAACTTGTTTGCATCTATACATTTGAACGACTAGTGACTAGAGATTGGCATGGCCTATGAATCAATTGATGTTTTTTCAACCATTCCCAAGAGAATTAAATAACAAAAGACACGGCGGCCATGTTGGAGGATATAACAAAAGAATTCAKTGACAATTCTTTTGTTAAGTTCCTCCAACATGGCCGCCGTGAAAACCATCAATAACAGACAAAGGGTTCGAGGATTGGAACGCTACGTTAACTTATGTACCGCTATGTATATTTTGGTCTATACTTTTCTCCTTTGTATCTATCTTATCTCGATGGTAGTTCATACGTTTGATCTATGGACAATATATTATTGAACACACTTTTTTTCACACGAGCTCTAAAGTTGTTTACATTGGAGTTTTGCCAAAATGTTAAAAGCTTTTTTCCTGTTCAGTTTTGAAAGTTAGACAGAAATTCTCTCAAAGCAGAAGTAAATACAGCAAAGAATTCAAAACTGTCAAGGTCTGTCTAAGGTCAGTAAGCCTTCAACAAAACATGTCAGTCTTCCCGCAAACGCTTTGTTTTTATTGATGGATTGCGAGCATTCCCAAGAGAGTCAAAAGACAAGCATGGCGGCCATTGTGGTGCCGTTAACAATGGACGCTAATGAGAAATCTTTTGTTAAATGGCACCAACATGGCCGCGATGACGTAACGTGCAATCGAAGAATACTTTATTGGCAGTCGAACACTATTCATCATGGAATAAATGAGGTTCTGTTGTGAACGAGTCCAACTTGCTCAAGTAAAACGCGCGTCACAGTGAAAGTGCAAAACGTATGGATAACGACAACACGTCCGTCTACAGAGTCTTAAGTCAGGGATGAGTTATCAAAAAATATATGCACATTCCATAAATGTAAATTCCACTCCAGTTCACTCGTGTGTGGTATTTGATAAGAGGGTCCTTATGATAAGTCAACATAATAATAAAAATGGGCACCTCTAAGCAATGGATAAGTCTATTTTTTCAGACTGAAGATTTGTCTTGTCTTCAGACATTATGTCTACTTTTAGTTAGTTATCGCATAATAATAATAATCTAATAATAATCCGCTTATCCGACCTTAATTTCTTATGGCACTGACTGCCCTGACCATGTTTTCGGTCAAAGTGATACGTTAACTATAGTCTTCATCGTTACTTGATATTGATTTCGATTGCAATGTATCTAAGGAAGACTGAATATCATAGTCAACCTTATTAGACGCGTTCTGATAAGATTTATTGAAAGTTATTTGGATTAAATGTCAAGCTCACACTCTATTAAATAAGAAAAACAAGCTATAAATAAGCAAGAAAAATGTAGTCACTCGCGCTTGAATACCAAACAAACACTGACAACACATAAGCTTCAACATAAGCGCGTAATCTAATGGAATTTTTCGTTGCTATGGTAAGAAATCCAATAATCCCGATTTAGCACCAGCATGTTATACTAATAAATCTTTGTACAAATGTAGACTAGATCAATAATTAAGCTGAGGTCAAGAAATCTTTCTTTGTGATAATCTTGTGTCATGCAACTCTTTGAGAAACATGACAAAAACAAAACCATAAGCTTCTGGTTTTAAAGAATGTGATCAATAGGCATTTTATATATCTTAAAACATGACCTGACTATTTGAAAATACTACTGTGATAATGAATCTGATGTAATTGCCGCACTACCCTCGTTATGACTTTCTTCGTTACGAGGCTAAGTAAGAAAGCTAAATTACAGTATGTGCAATTTTTAGCTCCAGGTTTTATCGTTCTACGAGCTACACGTTTTAGTTCTGTGTTACCAGGATTACGAACGCAATACTAATATTTATGTCTACAGATCTGGAGCCAAGATATTTATTAACGTAACAATAATCTATTTCACAAACGACTGATGGAAACTGGCCAAGTGATAACAACAATATGATCCTTTTTTTCTTAGGATGATTGTCTCACCGCACTTATACTCGATAAGCCCACTTAATTCTGATTTTAAAAGCTTTTGCTCTTCCATCAGCTATGAAAAGATCTTAGTCGTAGATACTGAAGTTGTTAGGATGGTGTTAAGATAAAGCTTGGGTAAATAAGTCAGTTTTGCAAACCTTCCCGTCCCACCCCCTCTGAGTTGAACACTAAATGACAGTTCAATATCGATCGCTCGTAATAAATCTTCGCGAAGGTTTGCTGTTGCCATGGCAATTGTGTTAGGCTGGAATTTACTTTCATCTTCCTTCTAAGTCCAATAGTATAGCTACGTAGGCTCATTTTGGATCACGTGACATTCCCTTGAGAATTATTCTTTTATGACGAACACGTGAAAATATTTATGGCACCATACTGGAATTGCCAAGTGGCCGTTACATAGAGGTCGGTCGCTTAATAGAGGTTTGGTAGATAAATGAACAATTTTTCATTTATCTATATTTATATCCTTGTTTGGTACAAACAAACCACATATAATCAACATGACGTTTGCTGCCCCAGCAAACATACACTGAATGGTCATCACATTGCTGTAAAATGATGTTCTTTATTCAAAGGTTTTTGAATAAAGGAAACACAGCTAGTTGAAAATCCACATGCAGATTGCCAATGCAAATGCAATACACTTGATTGCAATCTGCAATTTTGTATAGAGGGACTTGCAAGTGTATCAGTAGACCAGCACTTATCATTACGTATGATTAGTGCCAATCAATATATAACAACTAGACTATTTTAACAGTAAACTCAAACTCACTTGGATCCTTGTCGAACGGGGTATCTTCTGGAAGCAGTCCAACCTTCTTTAAATAAGATGGCACTCTTGCAGATAGCGATACAGCATCACCAACAGCCTCGTGGAAGGCGGGATTTGCTCCATTACGAAATACATAGGGTTGTTTGCTGTACATCATGTCGTACTCGATATGGCCCATCTCGTGGATCACAGTTAACAGTTCATGTTCATTCAGTGATGCGCAAGGCATCTTGATCCTGTAATGAAAATATTAATTAATTTCAGCTAGCCACTAAAATACACGTGATAACCGCAGCACACTATCTTGGGGTTTTCCCAGGAGCACAAAGAGTTATGGTATGAAGAGATAACTAGCTAAAAACTAGTGTGAGCTGCGTCGGTGTGTCTAAAGAAACAGTAATAATRAAAAGGTAAATTATACACCGTGAAAAGATGAAAAAACGTACTAACGTTTCAAATAACCACAATGTGTGTAGCTACGGTCACGGTAAGATGCGGTATACGACTTCCATTTTGTCGCATTGCTTCCCACTCACACTAAAACCGCCCTACTGATGGGAAACATTTCAAATTGACATAGAGGAGGTTCACGTTATGACATATAATAATACGAAAATGGCTTTCCATTTCTCTTTAGTGCGCTTCATCGAATAACGAGGTTAAAGTACGGTTACGGTAACATATGGTATAGTACCGTACGCTTAGCAGTATGTAAGTTTTCTACTTGCACAAAAAGTACTCTGATCAGGTGAAACGGAGGAAAACAATGGGAAACCATTTTAATATTGCCATATATCGTACCGTGGAAGTGCTGTAGAGCAGTTTTCGTATGACTGTGAAAATCTCACGGCACGAACAAGGTCGTGACACAGCAAGGGATACGCCAGACCAATCACTTTGCGCGAGAATTTATTCTCCATCCAATCGAATACCCGGAACACGGCATAAAGACGGCGCGGACACGGTCACGACAAGGTCACGGCACTGTCAGACCAATCATATTGCGCGAAAAAAATCAGCCAATTAAAATTCTAAAAACTCACGGTTAAGGCACTGCACGCTTACGACACTGCGCTTTTCACAGTCATGCGAAAACTGCTCTAAGTAAGTACCGTTTGTTTCCCACTCATAAGAAAACCTCTCAGTCTCTTTAAATTGTCATTCTGCATGGAGGGAAACGTACATTACTGAACTCTAGATACACGATCTGACATAAAATAGCATTGAAATGGCTTTCCATTATTTTGAAGTAAATTTATCCAACAGTTACTGTACGGTAACATAAAGCAGGGTTATGGTACGGCTAGGAGTCTGCTGTTTCGTTCCCCATTCATAGGCGGAAATCACTCCGATTGGGTGAAGCGCAACAATGGGAAGCCATTTTAGTGTTAGGGCATTCCATACCATGTAAGTGCTGTAAGTCAGTGTACTTTACATTTCCCACTTGTACGAAAGCCTTTCCACAAGAAAATATGATTAATACTTAAATATTTGGAATATTTCTTACCTATAATCTCCAGGTGAGAAGTCCCAGGCAGATATCGTACAATCTACCTTTTCACCAGCYTTGTGGCTAAACAACGATTTTTTCCAGAATGACGGCACCATTTTCTCTAGTCCCATAGATACATAAAAGTCCTCAGACATTCGTACCATATCTAGTACAGACATACCTTTCTTGTACATAGTTGTAGTCAACTGGATGTCTGGTTTTTTGGGGTATGGTTTGACTAGATAAGTGAGGTAGCTCCAGTCAAACCCCCACATGTCCAGGAGATGCGTCGGGATTGGGCCAGAGCGAGAGACGTTATTGTGCCCATATATCTCTCGCAGTCTGTACCTAGAAGAGAACAGAAGGTAAGTAAAGAAAAACGAAGAACACTGTAATATAGAGAGTGGTTTAAATAAACCCGTGAAATACGCTTTAGCTTATTTACTACTATTACACTCTAATTCTATTGTTTTCTATTGTGATTATCTGACTATTGCACTCTAATTAGTACACTTTGTTTAATGGGTCTATAAGACCACTCTATAAATGATCATACACACCTCATAAAGGAACCTTTAGGCATTTTCATTTGGGCAAAAATATGGCGCTATTTCATTTACTTACAGTGCTCTGAAAAACGTTATATGTTCAACGAAAAATAAAGTGAAAGAACGAAAGAATGCATAGCAGAGAGAAAAGTTTTTTCTTTCCCATGAATGAAGATTACTGATTTTTGTTCTAAACGACTAGAAATACCTGTAAAAATAGCCATTTTCTTTAAGCAACAGCAAAAAGTTGTAAGCTCTTTGGACGCCATCTTGAAAACGATTCCACAGGAAGCCCACAATTTCCCGAGATGCTTTGAGGTACCGCCAGTTACTGTATCATCACGGTATTAATTTATATTGGGCTTACCAAGAGAGCATTTAATCTATGCTTCAAGGTCAAAATTTGGATAATCTTTTAGAAATACCTTCTAGTCTCTATTTGGACTAGTGAGCCGCTGAAATATGGAAAGTATAGTAATCTAATAGTCCTCATCTATCAACTAATAACTAATAATAATATACATGCTCTAGTGGGCAGGTATAGAGGCTTTGCACCATTACGTGATATGATGGAATGCAGTCATGACAGGATCGCGGAGGTTCAACGATAGAGTCGACCTCCCTGGGAAAATGAAATCTTTATCATGGCTGCCATCACATGATGGTGCAAAGCCTCTATTCGTGTATCATACCTAATGTAGCCATGGAACTTTTGGTACAGTGGTTTCAGCTCCTTCCACAATCCCTTCATCATATCAACGACCCCACCCGGTCCCAACTCATATTCAGACCTCCAGCTTTGACCAACATCTTTCCAGCCATGCTCTCGAGCCCCGATATTAGAAATATTGACGTAGGTGATGAAATGGGGCTTGACTTTTGGACCGGTGATGTACCGAAATCCTTTCCAGGCAAATAGGCGCATTTCGTTGTCAAGTGATCTGGACATGATGTTCACGAGGTCAGGAATGAGCTTTAGGTAAATGCACTTGCCGTTTCTTTGCTTAAAACAAACCTGGGAGAGCCACGGAAAAGAACAAATTAAGGGATATGCCGCAAATTCAATTGCAAAAGTAGATGGCATTGCTGTGCGAACAGGGCCACAAATAAAAGAAACCCTTTTTTTTCAAATCAGCACTAGACGATACCGATCAAAAAGGTGAAAAATTAATGAAACTCACATAATTAATTAATGCATACTTGTCAATGTTATTACTTTTTTAAGGGCAATATAATTGATGTGAATGTGACCCCTCAATCTCAAAAACTGATGCTATTGATCTTTATACCATATTAAGCGGTTGGCCAGCTGAGTGATCCCCATTGTTACTTTGCACTGCGCATGCTTTCAGGGCTGGAAATTAAAGAGCTAGGTTTATGGGATAGCCCTTTGCGAAAGAAAGCAAGGACAAGGTATGCACCTCAAAAGAATCAAATAGACAAACACGTGACCTGCCGTCTTGTTTGAATAGGTCTCAGCAGAAACCTGTTACCACCTGTTGTTAATCAACTCACTCCATGACCGACTTTCACCTAATTCAAACCTCTCTATTTAAATATTTTAAATATTTCCAATTAAAAAAAAAAAAAAAAAAAAAAAAAANAAAGAAAGACAAATAAAAGAATATAAAACCCACCTTTCCATGTCCAAATATATGCGTCATTGACGAAACTGCTCGACTTAACTCCTTCACAAGTTGCTTTGACTTCGGCGATGTATTCTTACGAATAAACATCATTTGACGAACTGTCCGAGGGTCTAAGTTCTCAAGGCTAAAACCCTCAGCATCTATAGTAACATTGTTGCTGAACTCGGCTGCAAGGGATTCAATCCTTGCTAACTTATGCTGTAATTCAGGAGACATCTTTTGGTAGAATGCCCATAATACCTGGTATTGCATTCTTTGGTATTCCTCTGCTTGGTTGTTGTATTTTGTTAAAAAATACTGGACTTGCTGTTCTGTTGTGGCCGTCAATAAATAACTCTCCGTACATATCGTCAATAGAAAGATAGGCCATAAAATGACAACTTGCTTCATGATATATTGTCGCATAACGTCTGGGATATGACAGCTGCTGGTGGGCCCGGGTGCTTTGCAAATGAATTGAACTGAGATTAGGTAAAAGATCATGGTCAACGTCATTGTTGTGTCAGATTCTTTTTATAAACGTTAATTCATCTAAACAATTAATCAAATGGACAAAGCACAATCTAAAATGTTACAGAAAGAAACGCTTCAGTAATGCTTGATTTCGGGTCGTGAAAATACCATTTTATATCCTAGAGGATTTTATTGATTAAAAATATACATATGTTTGACAGTCGTCTTGTTTGTTTTCTTTGTTTATTTTGACTGTTTGATTGTTATCTTGAGACCTACATGTCACTTATTTACAACACACTAAAGGGCTGGTTCTGCCGCGACGCCATACGAGTCGAGATGAATACACTTCGCTTATTGCATATGTCTCTGTGGCTGCATGGGAACGATGAACTATTAAATGTACAAACGTGTATCTGGGTAAGGAAATCCCTGATGCAGTTTAATTTTGTGTGCGCATCTTTTTGGGAATAGAGGGAAAGAGTTTGCTTAGCTCAAGTGGGGCTGAACCCCCCCCCATAGGATGGAAAATCCTGTATACGCCCATGTTGCAAACGCGTCATTCATGTCTTAATTTCTATATTATATTCATTTCTGCTTCAACATCTAACTCTAGCAGTAGCTTCAATAGGGGACATGGAGCAAAACTGAAGTGATTTTTCCGAATTCAACTTAAAATTTACGAGCTCGACACAAGTTCTTCAAATGTGCAAAAAGTACGTAACTTCAAGTAAAAATGAAGTGAACTATGATGACTTTTCTACGTTTTACACTGCGTTATTTGAGTAACTTAAACTTTAAAATGTCTTTTTACTTTTAGAAATGACGAAGAGAAACGAAAAGAAAGAAAGAAAAGAAAGGAAAACAGAAAAAAATGATAATACGAACTGATGATGATTCCAAGTGAGCAATGCTGGGCTTCCTGTGTCCTAAGTACAGCGGTCTTCCTGAGCTCATAAACATGGCGGCTGCCAGTGAAGTAGAACTTTAATCAAATTTTTCTCCAGTTGATCGAGCAGCGAAGCCAGCTAGCTACACCAGCTACACCCTAAACACATATTTATGCATTCAAACAAGCTTTACGTCCAAATGCCGTACGAAGAAATCACCCTGGGAGCAGTGGGAAAAGATCGAAGGAGCGGTGAAAACAAAACTCGTTCAAGAACAAACGCCAATTCAGGTGAAGGAAGTTCAAACATGGACGAAGTTCCATTAATGATTGAAGAGGATTTCGATTATGATGATGACGATTATCTTTCCGAAGGATACGGGTCTACAGCTGAGGATTCGGGGACGCCAAGGAATCGAAGGAAACGGAAAGGAAAAAAGAGTCTTGGCTCGAAATGCTGGTGGTTCTGTTGTGGCGGATGGAAGACTTGCTGTGGAAGGTAAATTTGAATTGTAACCTTCAAAACCGAAAGTAGATTTTTTGACGCGTAGAAAGACACTGTATTTACGAAACATAAAATATTTAACCCCAACACAATAAAATTCCGCTATAGCTTATATTTTTAATATTATTTTTTATGTGTAGGATTAACACCAATTAATTGTGCTGTACATTTACTATGGATAAATATACGATATATGAACAATAACTATCTTTCTCCCGCGTAAGATTCAAGCTTTTAATACAAAAGGGGGTCAACAATAGTCAACTGACGCCACAGATATAGGAAATTTATAGAAAATTGAATAAAACTCCTAACTTCATGTATAAGCTTAAATATGTACAGTTTTCTGACAAATTCTTTTTGATTTTTTTTGTTATTTCAATGAACAGCTGTTTGAGGTTTTACTTAACATTTATTATTAGGGTCTTGGGGTCCCTGTGTTTTTAGGTGCTGACTGCTTTAATTGGGAAAAGATTGGAATTGTATTTACATTACTGGATCACCAGGGTTACAATCTTATCTGAAGAAAATGCTTTGAATTTATCTGTAGCTTTATGCAAATTATATGACTTGGTTTTAGTTAGGTACTTTCATGTAAGCTTTATATGGCCAGAATGAATCAATCTGTACATCCCAGACCTATACTTATGATCTGTGCTTATGACGTGGAATTTTTTTGACTTGAATGATATGTTCTTATTCTAGTTGTTTGGAAAGTATTGGAAATAAAATCATGGGTAGAATTGAAATGAAAGCAAGAAYGGTTGTTCTTGGAAAAGAGGTAGGTTCATAAACTTAATTCTCTAACCATTTTCCTCATTTTCTAGAGATTTTCAAAATGCAGTTATTACATTACATATAATTTTCTTAAATCATAAATGTTGGAAGAGGGTCAGTACATATTTTTGAACACATCGGTAGTCTGTTTAGTTACAGGTATAGAACTATAAATAACCATGCAGGTACTAACTAATAATTATTGATATATAGAAATTACTCCTAAACTTATTTTTGAGCATTAAACTACATACATATTTGTATGGAATCTATGTTTTCATTGAATTAACTGATAACCATCTACCAAGCCATCTAAACTTACTTAATTCCCAAATATATAACACTAATTCCTATTATTCTTCATTTATCTTGAGCAGATACATTTAGCATATATCATTCCTATCTTCCATTTTCCATCCTTCCTTCATATTTCCCAATCAAAAATCACAGACGGCTTTTTATTGTTCTTTCACGTTTTCTCAGATCACGATATACTATGACCATATATTGGGGATTATCTGTCCCTGACCTTTGTACAGGGGAAGACAGTAAAGAACATATTAAACTGTTTGTACAAACGCAGTAGGAGTATGTCTCCCAAAAACAGCCTACCAGGTGTAAGGTGACTCTTTCTCTGCACTCTCCACAAAACCTAACATGCTAAATTCTAATTTGACCTGTGAGTCAGCCATGCCTTGATTCTGATCAGCCCAGAGTTTTTTTAAAGGGGGCAATGGAATTTGGGTTCTACTTTAAAACCAAGTTTTACTTGTGATGATGAGTGGTGTATAACAGTCGAATGACACCTTAATAAATATATTGTCCTTTCCTGACATTAACATTATTGGCATAAATATGAATTCAGGAAATGAAGAACCACTGCTAAATCTTTAGTTCTTTCACAAGATTTGAGGCAAGCAACTTAGGATTATAGCGTTTTATACATAAATACTAATGTTACTTAAATTTTTTCTTTAAGTCTGCCACCCAAAAATTTCCTGCAAATGTCATCAGAAATCAAAAGTATAACATCATCACATTCATTCCTTTGGTAAGTACTGAACTTTGTATTAATACCAAAATTTTAAAGCTAATTTGTAGGAATTGCATGTGCTGCTAAATTATGTACTGCCCCTGATTATGGGTCAAATCCACTGATATGTGCCGTGTAGAGTTGCATGTTGGTTCTCTCAGATGTTTCGAAGGTTTTTGTCCAGGATTTCCAGTTTTCATCTCTTTGAAAAAATCAATAATTTAAAAATTCCAATTTGATGTGCCACTGAATGCTGTCTCTTTTAGGAGACTATGTACCCATTCCCTGCAATATTGAAAAATATAAGTATATAATAACATATTACGAAATGCAATACTGCAAATAACTACTCAGTTGGCTCAGTTGGTTGAGCATCAGACTTAATTTCATGTGGGAATTTGTGGTTAGAGTCCTGGCCAGACCAGTTGCTGCCTATGTAATGACATCTGCAAATGGTCAGACCTTTGTGTATCTCGGTCATGACCAAGTAAAATGACAGGGCTGTCTCTCCACTTCACTCTGCATCAGAGGAAAGAATTGGTATGGGGATTTTTAGGGTACCTTTAAGGGGACCCGACCCTGTGTCCCATTATGCCAAACTGGTCGGTAGGTAAAATCTCAAATAAAAATAAATAAAGTTATAACTATCCAAAAAACCTTTGACAATATCTTGAATATTATTATTTACAATGCAGAATTGAGATCAAACCCAGAATATTTATCAGGTTTCCTTGATCTTTCTATTCCAGGTTCTTTTCAATCAGTTCAAGTTTTTTCTTAATCTTTACTTCTTGGTGGTAGCCTTGTCACAATTTGTTCCTGAAATGAAGATAGGATACTTGTATACCTACTGGGGACCTCTTGTAAGTGGCAACAGGATGTTCATAAAGACGTATGATGGTGATGATAAATGATGGTGGTGAGGTTAATGTTGATGGTGATGATCAATGGTAGTGATAATGATGATAAATGATGCTGGTGATGATGACCAGTGATGATGATGTTGAGGGGGAGGAGGAGGAGGGTAATGTTGCTGGTGAGAATGGTGGTGATGATGATTATAATGATGATGATAGTGATGATAATGATTATGATGATGATGATGATGATGATGCTGGTGAGGATGGACATGATTATGATTATGATGACCAGTGATAATGATAATGATGATGATGATGGAGAAGATGATTAGAAGTTTTGATGACGAATATATATTATATAGGTTACATTAATTACTGGGTCTGTTTCTAAGAATAACTCTAAAGAATAATGATGACTATGATGAGTATGATTTGCAACTATTTTTAAAAAGATTGTCAGAGCCTAAGGAGATAGACAATAGGCGATAAGTCATAGGAGATAGGTCGTTCCAATATCCAGAAATAACCTGAATGACCTGTGTTTCTTATTATTACTTTTGTCATGAACACAGAAGTTAGAGTGTATAGAGTGCACACAGTATGCACTGTAGAAAAAAAACGAACAATCAAATGATTCTAAAAATAGCATCAGTGGTTCTAAAAATAGCATTAAATAATGGGGCGTGGGAATTCCTTCTCATACAGTAGTTCGCTTTTTCTTGCCTATTTCATTTCCTATGGCTTCGACAACCTTTTTTGAAATAGGTGTCATACATAACCAATAAAAATAGGTCTTTCATTAATGATAGAAAAAAGCCAATGAGTAGTTGTGGTTGATGGTTTTTTGTCAAAAATCATGAAAACAATTACTTAGTTTTTACATATTAAATTGTGTTTACCTCATTTAGCATTATATTAATAAAACTAATAATTATTATGATGATAATGAGTAAATAGAAAAGGAAAAAGGAGTTCAATATTTTGACTTCCCTTTTTTTATATTTAGGGATTTGTTTTAGCTGTTACCATGTGTCGTGAGGGATATGATGACTTTCTCAGATACAGAAGGGACAAAGAGCTCAACTCTACTATGTACAGTAAACTAACTAAAAGAGGTGAGAGTGTGACACTTATAATTTGACTTGATGTTCTGTTTTATTGTACCCATTTATTGGTAGCATGGGTGGCCTTTGCGGCTAATGCGTCGTCTTTCACCACTGTGAGTCCAACGGGTCGGGTTGCTGGTTTGAGCCCTGCGGTAGCCACATGTGAATTTGAGTTTGTTTGATGTGTTGTTCTCTCCTATGCTACAAGGTTCTCCGGTTTCCTCCTTCCATGAAAAGCAACTTGTGAGTTGAGCATTGTGTGCATAGAATATTGAATGTAGTGGTAGTGCGTTTGAGCGAAAAGTGTCCCATATTAGTGCAAAAGTGCTAGAACAACTAGACACTTAAATAAAGTGATTCATTTATTTTTTTATTTTTTATTTATTCCTTCTTATGTATTCATTAATATTTTTAATAGGAGTAACAAGAGTTCCTAGTTCTGCTATTAAAGTATCAGATCTTATCATTGTAGAAAAGGTAATTACTTTTGGCATTTATGGTTCATACTCATCTCCTCATTGCTGAAAAATTAGAACTTTTTTTCAGTTTTATATTTGTAATGTTCATTTTGCAAACATCCTCACTCCATTTGATATGTTGAACAGGGGTGTCCATATTATTGCTCCTTATTGACCAACATCTAGTCAAAGGGGTTCAAAATAAGGATGCATGTTGCCAAGCTTGTTTCAAGCCTGAAAATATTTATAGAAGGCAGGACATTACAAACTTTTGGCTTTAAGAATAAAATGATTCTTGGTTTAACATGAATTTTAAGTTGTTTTTTTTAATGATTCACCAATGTTTTCAGGACCAGCGTGTTCCAGCTGACATGATCTTTCTAAGAACTTCAGAGAAAACGGGTAAGTTAGTTTCAGTTATGTAGAATGGGAGAAAAGGAAAATAGGAAGGAAGAGCAAAAAAAAAAAAAAAACAGATGGGGAGGGGGGTTGGGAGGAAAGGAGAAAATGAGGAAAAAAAGGGATACGATTACTCAGTATCCCATCATCTTACCTTATGCATGTGGAGATGTCTGACATTGCTGTTTATTCTCTCTAGGTTCTTGTTTTCTAAGAACTGATCAACTTGATGGAGAAACTGATTGGAAGCTTAGATTGACAGTGTCTGCCTGCCAAAGACTACCTACTGATCAGGTAAGCAATGTTAGAAAGGGAAAATGTCAAAGAATTTGTTACAGTTTTTATAGTAAATGATTAAAAGAGAATAAGTGACAGCTCAGGTTTGCAATTGTTCTCGATTCTGGTTGGCTAACACTTTTTCTCAGATCGGCTTTTGGCAGGTTCAGTTTCCAGTTCAAATGTGATAATGATGAATTCATGGCAAAGATGTCGACAATGAATGATCTTGTGGATATTGATGTTGATGATGGTTAATGGTGATGCTGTTGGTGTTGATGATGACGATGCTCTGTTGATGATGAAAATGATGGTGATCATAATTTTGATATTGTTCAGTGTTGATGATGGTGATGGTAATGGTGAAGCTGATGGTGATCATAATTTTGATATTGTTCAGTGTTGATGATGATGATGGTAATGAAGATGGTGATGGTGATGGTGATGAAGATGATGGTGATGATGATGGTAATGGTGAAGCTGATGGTGGAGGTGGTGGTGGTGATGATGATGATGATGGTAATGAAGATGATGATGGTGATGGTGATGAAGATGATGGTGATGATAATGGTAATGGTGAAGCTGATGGTGGAGGTGGTGGTGATGGTGGTTGATGGTGATGATGTTGGTAATGGCGTTGGTGTTGGTGATGGTGATGGTGGCAGTCGTAGTGGTGGAGACGGTGATGGTGGTGATGTTGGTGATGATAATAGGGATGCTGATGATGAGGATGATGATGTTGTTGATAATGTTGATATTATTCAATGTTGATGATGTTGGTTGTGCTCTGCTGCAGCATGCATTGCTTGTTGTGCAAGTGTTTCTTTCTTTGTATCCTATTGTAGTAAAGTATTTGAATGTTGCCCTAGATTCTTCATACGTTTGATCAGCATAATTTATGTTTCCCCAGGACCTGCTAAACATAAGTGCCTCTGTTTATGCTGAGAAGCCACAGAAGGATATTCATAACTTTATTGGTACATTTACTAGGGTATGTGTATGTATTCTAATGATAACAATAATCGTGTTTATTTAGACAGGGTGGCATGTGACAATAGCCAACTTAGCACTGATAAACTTGTGGCCCTCTATGTTTAACGTCTCTAAGTGAGATAGGACGGCCATTTTACGTGGTCATCCGAGCCACAGCGAAGGTCTGACGATTTGCAGATATTATTAGAGCAAAGGCACCATCTTGTGCTCAAATATTTCAAGATTCTGATTGTGAGTCCGGCCGCGGAAGCTTGAATGCATTACTTCCTACACAACAGACCGGTGCCCAACCCACTTAGGAGCTAGCCTATCTGTAATAATCTTATACCTTTGGGTGTGCTGTGAATGCTTCCTTTAACAGACTTTACAAATTGCTGCATGGAGGATCTTCAGTTCAATTCAATTATGGCATTTTTTAAACCAATGACAATATTTCCACATATCAAATCAGAATTCCAAAGCATTGCTAATCCTGGAAGAAATCACCTGGATAAATCGATAACTTTATTTCTGTTTTGACGTTTAGTACGATGGAGAGCGGGCAGAGATTCCATTAAGTATTGAAAATACATTATGGTCCAATACAGTGGTAGCTTCTGGTAAGTTATTCTTTAAAATAATTTTGTCTTCATCAACCGTTTCTGGAATTATGCTACCATTCTTTTCATTTTATCTAAATTTGATAGTCCTTGTGAACACAAGTAGATTGAGTTCCGTGGCGCATTAAAGTCTTGAAAATGTTTATTTGTTCCATTTTTGTGCGTTAATGCTATCCCAGTGTTTCTTCAGTTCTTTCATATATATTCTCACCTCTCCCCCTCTTTTAGTTTTTAATTGATTCAAGGTGTTTTAACATCTCTACAGGTACAGCTCTTGGTGTAGTGGTGTACACTGGAGTAGAAACAAGAAGCGTCATGAACACATCTAATCCACAATCAAAGGTACCCTTTTCAACCCCCCCTTCCTCCATTAGGGACCAAGGCAAAGAGAATTTCACAATTTTTTCGCGCAAAACCATTGTCTTGTTTCCTTTACCTTTGGATGTGAATATCTCTATAAATGTCCACAAAATAGCGCCGCGAACAGATTCTAAAATAGCATGAAGGCAAGGTGAATATCGTCTCATAATCGATCAATCACAGCGCGCGAAAACTATATTCAAGCCTAAAATCATACTAATAGGTGACGTAACTGAAAAGGGTTTTTCAACGAAAACTATAATGATGCGTAATGACGGAAACGATGTCATACCCAATTCTCAGTGTTCTTTTTACCTTTTCCCTATGTTTGTTTAACAAATTATTCACCAGCAAGAGAACCATTTATTGCCCCTTGTTCGCTGTATAATAGCGTATTAAAGTGTTTTGCCATTGATTTCTAGATTGGTCTGATTGACATGGAGCTGAACAATCTCACTAAAGTACTATTTATGGCAACCATTTTATTATCTCTCGTCATGATCGCCCTTAAGGTATTTCACTACTTTCTATTTCTCGCTCCTACATATCGAGGTTGCGCATATACACCTATTTCGAAGATCGTTATCGCACCAAGAGCCTCAAGTAACAAGCCAAGGCTCCATAGAACGTCGGTACTTTTAATTATACTATTGATTTATTCATGGTTCATACAAGTGGCTATAGCTCTCCACTACGTAATTATCATCTCAAGCAGCCTTGCTTGGAGCAATTTTTGAAGTCAATAAATGAAAATGCACCATAAATAAACTAATTACAGCTAAATGTACCGGCGTTCTCTGCGGTCTTGGCTTGTTGCTTGAGGCTTTTGGTGCGACAACGATTTCTGAAATAGGTGTATAATCACCGGCAATACTGAGTCAAGTACAAAAAAAAAAAAAGGGGGAGTTGTGGCGTGTGTTTGTTTTGGCGATGTCACTTTGCATACTTATCGTTCACAATAATAAGTTATCATGATTGCGTCTTCTCAGTCTACTTATTTATATTAGGCCTTAAAATCCGTCGACGCTGAATTTAACACTGAATCAGTCGTAGTCGATTTCCGATTTTTTTTACAATGTAAAGTTTCAATCTACGTACGCGACTACGAAATGATAGTGTCAATCTTAAAAATTTTTAAATTCGTACTTGTTTTCGTACTCGTCGTCGGATCTAAAGTTTAATGAGTTACTGCATGGAACGTCGTGGAGGTTTTTATCGGGTGCGCCCTGACTTCGCATCAGCCGCGGAGTAACTGGGACTCGATAGTCAGTGCTTTTATTCTTTTTTACTGTTTTTGATGCATGGATGGTTATTATATGTATTTCTCTTTATTTTGTAGGGTTTCAATGGACCTTGGTATCGTTACTTTTTCCGCTTCATTCTCCTTTTCTCTTACATCATTCCTCTAAGGTAAGGAAACTACTTCACTATCAACTTCATCCTACAGCATCATCATCATCATCATCATCACCACCACCACCACCACCACCATCATCATCATCATCATCATCATCTTCATCATCATCATCATCATCATCATCATCATCATCATCATCATCATCATCATCATCATCATCAGAGAGCAGTTTACGCATGGCTGTGAAAAGCTAAGTGCCATAAGTGTGCCGGTGCCGTGGCCCTGATGCTTTCTAGCATTTTAATTGGCTGATTTTTTTCTCGCGCAATGTGATTGGCTTGACAGTGCCGTGTTCCGGGTATTTGATTGGATGCGGGGAGTAAAAACTCGAACAATGTGATTGGTCTGGCGTATCCCTCCCGTGTTCGTGTCGTGAGCTTTTCACAGACATACGAAAACTGCTCCAATCATAATCGTCACTACCACTATCATTGTCATTCTCACTGATCGTCATCAATAACATCATTGCCACTGATGTTGGCTTGTATCCCTTTCCATGAGAATGAAACGACAAAGGCCATGGCCGCCATGTTTATATAACAAAAGGAAAAAACCCAGAACAAGTCAACCAACATGACAACTTTGACGTCACATGAACATTGAAAAATAAAATTTTTATTTTTCGAATCTTTCAGCTTAAGGGTCAGTCTGGATATGGGTAAAGTAGTGTATTCCTGGATGATAGCACATGATAAAGAGATAGCAGGTACCGTGGTGAGAAGTAGCACAATACCAGAAGAACTGGGAAGAATTGGTTATCTATTAACCGACAAGACAGGAACATTAACACAGAATGAAATGGTAAAATATCAGCTTTCTTTGGGAAATTCTAAACTTTTATACCGTTATAATTCCTGGCAACAAATTGATCCAAATTTTAACGAAATTGTTCTTAATGTTACAACCGAGATAAAATATTTTATTCGTTTGGTTTTTGTTTGTTTTTGAATTGAGCTTTTTAACATTGTAGTGGCTTTAAAGTCACTCACAGAAATAATTTATTCATCCCACTTGAGTTTTTGAACCAACTTTGAGCTAGAAACGAAAAAACCCGAAAACAAGTCCAATTTTGACAAAAACATTAGCAAAATACTTCAGAAAATTAGTGTAATGCGTTAGGAAGCTGTTGCTTAACGAATTTTTATGTCTCACGTCGAATTTCAGTGGTAAAAAAATATATTTATCTGAACTGAGCTTTGCAACATTTTAGGGGCTTCAACGTCACTCACAAAGATAATTTATTCATGCCACTAGAGTTTTGAACCAACTTTGAGCTGGAAACGAAAGAAACCGAAAACAGGTCCAATTTTGATCAAAACATTAGCAAAATACCTCAGAAAATTAGCTTAAATGTGTTAGGAAGCTGTTGCTTAACGAATTTTTATGTCTCACGTCGAATTCCAATGGT